GCTCACAGCGCGTGTAACCTCAAGCTTAGAATCATCCCTAAGACAATAAACATCCCCGTTGTCTTTCACAACTTTAGAGGGTATGACTCACACTTGATCATGCAGGCCATCGCGAAAATCGATGGTAATATAACGTGCATCCCCAACAACATGGAGAGATACATCTCCTTCAGCTTAAACGGTCTTAGGTTTATAGATTCAGTACAATTTCTATTGTCTTCACTAGACAGTCTGGTCAAGGCCAATGATACCTTCCCTATTACCGATCGATACACAGACGCCGAGACTAGACCCCTGCTTATGAGGAAGGGTGTGTACCCCTATGAGTACATGGATAGTTGGCCCAAGTTCGCCGAGACCAGACTACCCCCCCATCAGAGAATTTTACAGCAATCTGACAGACTCGGCAATATCCCAAGACGATTACTCGCACGCGATTAACGTATGGAATAAACTGGGTTGTGAGAATCTGGGTGACTATCACGACCTGTACTTGAGGACAGATGTACTGCTGTTAGCCGACGTGTTTGAGACGTTTAGGCGGACATGTTTCAAGCAGTATAAACTCGACCCCGCATGGTATTACACCAGCCCAGGTCTGTCGTGGGATGCCTTGTTGAAAAAGACTGGAGTTAAGTTGGAATTGCTTACAGATTATGACATGCACCTATTCATTGAGAAAGGCTTGCGAGGCGGGATCTCCATGGCAACCAAGCGATACGCGAAAGCAAATAATCAATACGTGAAGGGTTACGACCCTAGCAAGCCAACCAATCACATTCTCTACCTCGACGCCAACAACCTGTACGGCTGGGCTATGAGCCAGTATCTACCCACAGGGGGATTCGAATGGGTGCCACAGGAGGTCGATGTTATGAGCATCGCACCAGATTCGAATAAAGGTTATATCCTCGAAGTTGACTTGGAATACCCCAAGGCATTACACACATCACACAACAGCTACCCCCTGGCCCCCGAACGTATGAGGGTTAACCCAGACTGGATGTCTGAGTACCAACATAACTTATTAGGTGGGCGGGTGGCAGACGTTGAAAAACTCGTGCCTAACTTAATGAATAAGACCAAGTACATCGTTCACTATCGCAACCTACAGCTGTACCTGTCGTTGGGTATGAGGCTGACCAAAATACACAGGGTGCTCATGTTCAACCAGAGCCCATGGATGGAACCCTACATCAGAATGAACACAGACCTCCGAAAGCTTGCCACCAGTGACTTTGAGAAAAACCTCTACAAGCTCATGAACAACTCGGTGTTCGGTAAGACTATGGAGAACCTGAGGAAACGCGTGACCGTGAAGCTGGTTCGGTCGAATGAGGAAGACAAGCTCAGGAGACTGATAGCCAGTCCGGCATTCAACCGTAGCAAAATATTCACCGATGACCTAGTTGCCCTACACATGAAGAAAAGCCACATAAAATTCAACCGGCCTGTTTACGTGGGGATGAGCATCCTCGATTTATCCAAACACCTGATGTACGACTTTTACTACAACGAGCTTAAGAAACAGTACGATGACAGGTGTGAAGTTCTGTACACTGACACGGATTCCCTGCTGATGGAGATTCGAACCGAGGACGTGTACGAGGACATGAAAAAAACACCTCGATTTGTATGACACCAGCGACTACCCCAAGGACCATGCCATACACAGCACGGTAAATAAAAAGGTCCTAGGTAAGATGAAGGACGAGTGTGCTGGCACGCCCATAGCCGAGTACATAGGTTTGAGACCTAAGATGTACTCCATCCTGAAGGCCGACAATGGTGAGATCCGGAAGGCTAAGGGTGTTAAGAAGTACGTGGTGAAACAACACATCAAACACGCCAGATTCAAGGAAGCCCTGTTCAAGACCCGTACTTTTAGACATAAAATGAACACACTTAGAAGTGATGGTCATAAGATATACGGACTGACTATAAACAAGACGTCCCTGTCGCCTATGGACACTAAACGTTGGATAGCTATTGATGGGATAAACACGTACGCGTACGGGCATGAGAAAATTGAACCAAGAACATAGGTGTATGTAGGCGACATGTCACGGAACCAGAGAAAGTTTGAGGCTATTTACTATAGCCCGCGTGGGTACTGGAAAGGAGCTAGCGCTGTAGATAAGCTGGCTAAAATGGCGCGAGTACCCCCGGAGGAAGCCAAAGCGTGGCTTGAAAAACAAGCCCTGTGGCAGATCTATTTGCCTCCACCACGCTACGTGCCTAGAAGGAAGTTTGGAATTAACATACCTAATAACGTTCACCAGGCAGACCTACTGTTCCTACCCCACGATAAGAGGTACAAGTATGCCTTAACCGTAGTGGACGTAGCCAGTCGCTACAAGGAAGCCGAGCCCTTGACCACGAAAGATTCTGCCCAGGTAGCCAGAGGATTCGAACGCATATACAAACGCAGTCCGCTGGCGTGGCCAACAGAGCTGCAAGTTGACCCCGGGCGGGAGTTCATGGGTGCCGTGTCACAACTGCTAGCCAAACACGATACAAAGGTCAGGCGTGGCACGGCCGGAGCCCATCGCAGCCAAGCCATAGTTGAGAGATTCAATAGGACTTTGGCTGAGCGCTTATTCGGACATCAGTATGCGAGGGAGATGACCACCCCGGGAAAACGATCGACTGAATGGGTATCACGGCTCCCTAAGGTGGTGTCGGCAATCAACCATGAAGTCACCCGGCTCACTGATAAGAAACCGGCAGACGCTATCAAACTAAAATCAATAGTTGCAGAGTCGGCTGCTCCATTGCGTGGAAAAGAGAAACAGATACCAGATAGGGCCCTAGTGAGGTATCTATACCAGCCGGGGGAACACGAGGGTGATAGCCGTAAGCGAGCCACCGATCCTATATGGTCAGTCAAAACTTACAACATAGATAAAGTGGACATCAAAGCAGACGAGCCTAACTTGTACTACTTGAGGGATGGGCCAGGTAGGGGGTTTGTAAGAGCGGAATTATTGATCGTACCGTACGGCACAGTGTTACCTCCAGTCAACACGGCATAGCGGTGCCCCAGGATACCAACACACTCCAGCCATGTCCCCGGTGCGGTTGTGAGGTGCGTTCGTATCCCGCTATCGTCCCAAACTTTTTTATAGTAGGGGTAATGGTAGCAAGAGCTAAGGGTCCGACCAAAGCCTTACTTGTGAAATAAGGCTTTGCAGAGGCTTTGTTGGAACTGGTCCAAAACCCCCATTCCCTATACTACTCACCATCATGTTTCATACATTTAGCCAATCTTTTATAGCTACAGATATTGCTTATCCTCAACTTCATAACTGATAATGTTATACGCTTTACGTGTTGTTGATACAGTTATCTTTTTACTTAGAATGAGAATTACCACTATAGACGATTGTTTTCATAATTGTGTCTATGAACAGTGTTGCATACTCAGGGTAAAACATATTAGCAACACATTTTCAGGGCTGACTGTGCTGTGTGTTCCTTAATATTGTTCCCCTTTCATGACAAAGAGAAACAATATAATTTGTATACACAAATGAAATGACGAGGTACCGTTATTTTTTTAATAATTCGTTTATTTATCTTAAGCATTTACACGGTTTTGTATGACTATATATTCAAGAGAATAGAGCATTGCAGTTTGACCAGACCTTATTGAAATAGTCTCTATTACAATTAATGACAGAGGTATACTTTGTTAACTTGTAAAATTCCATGAGCTACTTCTGTATGAACTGAAATGTTGATGGGCAGTTAATATTTCTAAAGTTGAAAATGATTCGTTTTGACTTGATAATTACACGGTTTAAATGATTGTTATTTTTCGATAAATAGCCAAAAAGAATATTTTCTTTGGATATTGTTACCGGACTTTGCATTTTGTGCGATATCCAACTTTCCAGGTCTGGCAAGATGGCGCTCACTTTGTTGCATTCCCAGAAAATATGCATGATATTTTCCATTTCTTTAGAACAGTATCTGCATTTTGTACTGTCTACGTAACCCATCTTAGTGAGACGACAATTCTTTGGCAAGATATAATGCAAGATTTGATATTGGAACCACTGTAGTTCAGTCACGTAAGTCCAACTAAACGGGATAGAACTGATACTCTTCTTATCTTGTTCGGTAATATCGTGTCTAAGGTCGTACTCCCATTTGGCGAAGTGGTTATTTTCTCACCAAAGTTTTTAATAAGTATTTGATAGAAATACTGTGAACCTTGATTTTGTTTGCTCAGAAGGTATATATAAACTTGCAAAATGGGAGATTCTAGGAAAGTGTTTAATTATTATCTACAAGATCATTTCAATTATGAAACGTATCCTATTTAAAAAACCATTCGTTATAAAATATGCTGGTATTTACTAGTTTTATGTTCTCGTTATACCACATGTATTGTGCTAGCATGCCCTTGTCATTTATACTCGGCACGTGGATGCCGCCCCATCATACTTTTTGTTAATTTCAACCAGGTCTTCATTAGGTCTTTGTAGTATGCATTACATATCCTGGTAATCATTTGTGTGTCTAACAGGTGAGTGAGTTTAGTTTGACGCCGCACTCAGCAATATTCCAGCTATATGGCGGCGGTCTGTAAATAATCCAGACAATCCAGTGATCAACAGCATGAGCATCGATCTGCGCAATTGGGAACCGATGACATGTGTCAACCAAGTCAGCGAGCTTGACCACCCGATCCCGTTAGTCGCCTCTTACGACAAGCATAGTCGCATTTTGTGGCAAGCATGGGTTGCTGAAGACCTATTCTACTCTAACAGGTAATTTCAAAAGTATTATGGGTCCAGAACGAGGAATATTTAAGAAGAATAATGGACACCAGTGTATGACATTTTCCATTTCTTTTGTTGTCTAGGTCCTAAATTTGTCTTGGGATTTCACATGTATCTTCCAGCCATAAATCCTTTTTGGTCTTCGTTATTGAACAGATTTACCACAGTTTTAAACCTTTGTTATATCGCTATCGATGCGTCTTTATACCATAATGTATTACCCATATGGTGAAACATAACCAGTGTCACATATATCATATGTGCAACTGTGCACATATCACTTCTGCCTAGCAACCATCTGTAGCCTAGCAACCATCTGTAGCCTAGCAACCATCTGTATTAAACATTTAAACAATAAACCATGATCGTCATATTTGTTTTACAGCACAAATGTACATGAATAAAATGGATAATAAAGAACTTATTACAGTCGAGCAAGTGTGTCATATGACTCATATGAGACTCGTGTAAATTATGTATTGCTCTCGATCTCACTCTGGCTTTACAAAATTTCACACAGGTTTCGTATAAGTCGTATGACCCATTGCTCGTGTAATAATCTCTATATAACGTGTGTAGTCCCAAAACATTTCAAGTAAATTTAAGTCTACCAGGTTTTTAATCGTAGTATTTTTGTCTTTTTAATGTATGGCGAAATCTTAGCATAAACGCCAATGGCTGAAGGGATGGTGTAAATCCAGCTAGGGTCCATGCAGGTAGCAAAAGTAATGTAAGTCCCCATGGGCCCTAGTATGGTGATCTACCTTCAGTTGTTGGGGATCAATAGCCCATTTCTACATTGTATTGTCCAAATATAATTTTCTACTTTTGAATATATATGCTAGCTAGTGTTACCTCATTTGTGATAACCTAGTAATTTTTCTCTCATTCGTTGACAGGGTTTTATATATTATATGTATGTATTATGAATTTCGAACAAGTCACGATATGACTGAACATATTGCCGATGTGACTTTAAATCTTAACTAACTCACTCTATATAATGTGTATATACAAGAGAAATGACGAGGTACTGTTTGGTCGTATCACGCAATACAAACAATGGGTGATTGCCGGATACATTGCAGTTGTTGAGCCAGTGAACATTGTTGCAATACACACAATGGGTGATTGCCGGATACATTGCAGTGTTTGAGCCAGTGAACATTGTTGCAATACACACAATGGGTGATTGCCAGATATATTGTAGTTGTTGTGCCAGTGAACATTGTTGCAATACACACAATGGGTGATTGCTGGATACATTGTAATTGTTGTGCCAGTGAACATTGTTGCAATACACACAATGGGTGATTGCCGGATACATTGTAGTTGTTGTGCCAGTGAACATTGTTGCAATACACACAATGGGTGATTGCCGGATACATTGTAGTTGTTGTGCCAGTGAACATTGTTGCAATACACACAGTGGGTGATTGCCGGATACATTGTAGTTGTTGTGCCAGTAAACATTGTTGCAATACACACAAGGGGTGATTGCCGGATATATTGTAGTTGTTGTGCCAGTGAACATTGTTGCAATACACACAAGGGGTGATTGCCGGATACATTGTAGTTGTTGTGCCAGTGAACATTGTTGCAATACACACAATGGGTGATTGCCGGATACATTGTAGTTATTGTGCCAGTGAACATTGTTGCAATACACACAAGGGGTGATTGCCGGATACATTGTAGTTGTTGTGCCAGTGAACATTGTTGCAATACACACAAGGGGTGATTGCCGGATACATTGTAGTTGTTGTGCCAGTGAACATTGTTGCAATACACACAATGGGTGATTGCTGGATACATTGTAGTTGTTGTGCCAGTGAACATTGTTGCAATACACGGTTCAAAAATGGATTAAAGTGTTCGAAAATATGCTTTCGTGTGTCAAATGTACTCGACTGACTAGCATATCGTATCTGCAAATGCCTTGAGTGAATTGAGTTAAAGTTTTACGTTGCATTGGCATTATTTCAGCCATATAGCGAGGCAGCTCTTCTGTAACACTTCCTGATCGTGACAGAACAGAAACAGTCCAACAGTGGATCAATAGTTGGGAGACAGAGATTCATTGTAGGCAGTTCTGTGAGCTGTGTGCATTCTGCTTCGAAAGGTATTTCAATTGTGACGGATTTATCAAATCGGAGGTGCAGGACCACTATCATGATGGCCCTGGGCTTCAAACCATACATGTCCTATGTCAATAAACACCTGCAGAAAAAAGTAGGTTCCCATCTGATACACTTTTGATTTTAGTGAGGAATATGTTTGCCCGTTGATCTAGTTCAACTTTTTCTGGTACCTGTAAATGGTGACTTTGGCTTGACAGAACTGGATGCTTGATTTTAAGGATTATTGCCTCATCAGCGTACTAATCATTGATTATCAATAGTTGTGTGTAATTATATTTGTCCTGCAAAATCTCGAGAGACAATTACTCTCCTATACAAGTACGTATGGACTTGAATACACAATGCCACCCGGAAAGTGGTCAAACGCAGCACACTTTATATTTGGGAGTACGCTTTCTCAGTAAAGTACAGTTTCTAGTACTTTTGTTGGGTTGAGTCCCAACCGGGATTCGAACTCACACTCACGGAGTCAGGCACCTATTCGCCAGCACACAAAGTCAGCCGTCTAAGCCGCTTCCACAAAATAAAATCGGATAAAAAATGGGACGCACTCGCAATGAGCTCTTGGGCAAGTTCTTTTGTAGTTTTGTATGTTGTTTAACGCCGCAATCAGACAATCCAGTGATCAACAGCATGAGCATCGATCTACTAATAAATATATATTTATCAATCATGGTTCAGTTAATACTGCATGTATGAGCATATCAAAGTGTATGTATACATTTATGTTTGTTTGTATAATTGTTTTTGTGTGTATGCATAGATTATCTTACACCTCCAGTGAAAAATATCAGTCGCATATATGATTTAAACAATATTTATTCATTATTAAATGAACGGATTGGTAAACAGGCTATAAGCCTATAAAAATACCTCTCCGAATACAATGCGATGGGAAACATTTTATATACATTCATCATTACAGACAAGAGAACACACCATTTGAGGAGTAAAAGACTTAATGAAAAAGACAGTAGTATAATTAATCAATTAGGTAAAAAATCGTTTTGTTAAGGTAAAATAGTCATGTACAGATTTTACAATATTTTCATTGATTTCGTCAGAATATGAGTAACTTCCACATAGTACAGATTGAATATTAAAACCATTTATGTAATAGAAACACTTCGATCGAATTGTATTAAAATTTGGACAGATAAATAGAAAATGAATGGCATCTTCATAATGATGGCCACAAGTGCAAGTAGACGTATTTTGAAGAAAACAATCACATTTATGTGCGTTTAAGTCACTACAGCCAAGTCTTAACTTACAATGAATTATTTGATTAAATTTATTACCAGTGTTTCTGAAGACATGATGTACGTTGGATGAGACAGTTCGATCAAAGTGTTTCTTGAACATGGCAACGGAATCTATGTTTCTTATATCATTATCTAACTTGTTCCACTCCATCACAGAGGATGGTAAAAAAGATTTTATATGTTTCCGTACGACATAATGGTACTTGAAGCATATTACTAGATCTAGATCCATATGTGGATACAGAGGATATGTTTATTGGAATTAGATCTGATAAATACTTTGGAGTTTTATTATCGAACATTTTATGAAAATACATACATTTGGTGATTTTTACGACGTTCCCTTAATGATGAAAAACCAGTTTCATGGTAGATTTTGGAATGACAAACTCCTCTAACTGATCCACATATGGTTCTTAAAGCATCTAAGTGAAGTTTTTCTAACAATAACTCTTGAGTTTGTGTACAGTTGTTCCAAATATAATCACAATTGTCAAAAAGTGGTAAAACAAATGAACTATACAGGGTTTGGAGGGTTTTCCTCTGAAGGCGGTATTTCAGACTTCTTAAACAATTGATCATAGGACTGACTTTAGAAATAATATCATCTATATGTATATTCCAGTGGCCATCACTTTGTAAAGTCAGCCCCAGATGTTTATGAGTGTCAACAGACTTTATCGGTATATCATTCATTATAAGATCTGGCATTGATGTTACTGTTTTCTTTCTAGAAAAAATGATAGATTCAGTTTTATTGGGATTAAAGTTTACTTTCCATATCTGGGCCCATTTAGCTATTATTTCTAAATCATCGTTTAACATATTTGAAGATACCATAGGGTCATCAATTATCACATATTATCACAGTCGCATATATATGTGTAGCTGTACTGGAATTGTTTTAGAATTTTAATACCTATTTCTATTTTTTCTAACTTCTCTCTCATTTTGTATGCATAATAGATAAAACGAGCTAGATTATTTATGTCTTCAGATTTGTTTTGTTTAAGGATATTGCTAATTTTAAAACAATATCATATTAACTTGCAAATTCTAAGGCAAAAATCTACCCCAAAGTTCTTTATAAGCTGGATATTTCAGCAAAAAGTGGTATTCATCTTCTAAATCTACTTTACATACAGGACAATTTCTTTGAGATACATCAATATTATGCCACCTTACCACGTTATTCTTTAAACGTAAGACACCAGCTCTGAATTTGACCAATACTTTACGGAATATATGTTCCAAGTCTGAAGACAGATACCCCTCTGGCTCAAGAAGACTCTTATATTCTGTATATAACTTCTAACGTGAACTGTTTTCAAGAGTAAACGTCCAATTTTGGTGAAACATGTTGATGAGTACATAATAAATTCGCAATAGTTCTCTGTGTGCGACATCATCTTCTTAGTTGCTGTTACACCATACTTTCAAACTCCCCGTCCTCATTATGTATGGCTGTATGGCAATGGTTTACAGAAAAATGAAATGATATAGTGCCTTAATGTCAAATGTTTAATTGAAGTATTGCAACAACGTTTTGCGAACATAATGATAAAGGTAAGAGTATAACATGATTTTCATGGTCAGTGTTGTTTGCTTCAACAGAATGCACTTCAGTTCAGTATGTAACAAGAAGATTAAGTCATCAATATCCCCCTTAATGGCAAAATACTCTTTATGAATATGTCTACGAGTTATGATTATGTCAAATGTTTTGGTGTGTATATAGAAAAGTTGAAGGAGAGTATTGAAAGGTTTTTAAAGTTCTCCTCAAGAAAGGAGCACTACCATCAATTTCAGTCTAAGCCAAAATTGTTGCCACGGAAACGCCAAAAATATTTTATTCAGAATTAAAAAACTACCAAAAGGCACCAGTACACCACCA